GCTTGTCAAGTTCACGGTCTACCTGGCTCCAAGCCGTTTGTGATCTATACAGGTCATGCGTCACTATGCACTGCGACTCAGTCGCCCCTCCTCTCGCAGAGGATGACTAGATGGCTACCCTTTTTTGCGGAATTTAAGTTCGATGTGAAATATAAGCCGGGAGAGCAGAATGCTTTCGTTGATGCGCTGTCACGCAGACCAGACTATGAGCTTGCTTATGTTACAGCTGTAACGTCGTCTATGACGGATTAGATCCGCTACGTGTATGCGGGTGATGGGATGTGTGTAGCGGTGCTAGGGCTCTAGTGAGCAAGGAGTTTAGAGACTCGGACAAGAAATTGTCATCAAGATTGCGAGCACGATTGCACCAATATTCGTTTAAAAACGGTATGCTATAATTTAGCACCAATTCAACGGATACACCACGAATTGTGGTTTCTTAAAATGAGGAATTGAAATACCGCATCCTCTATGAGGCTCACGACATGCCACTCAGTGGTTATCTCGGTCGTGAGAAAACGTACAGCTTTGTGAGTCAGCGCTATTGACGACCCAAGCTGTACAAATGGACGAACACCTATGTGCACACGTGTGAGACGTGTCGACGGATGAAACCCGCTTTAAATGCGGCTGCACCGTTAGCCATCTTACCGGTTCCCACTGGGTGCTGGCAGTTCATGAGTTTGGACTTTTGTTTTCCTGCCTAAACATTCGGCGGGCAACACGGGTGTCGTGGTATTCGTCGACCGGTTGAGCAAAATGGCTAATTTGGCGGTGGTGCCAGAAACCATCAACGGAGTCGGTACAGCAACGCTGTTCGTGGATCGTGGTTTTTGACAACAAGGACTCCCAGAGTCGATTGTCTCTGATAGAGACTCCCGTTTCACGGTAAATTCTGGTCGACTATCTTCAAGGTGCTAGGCACCAAGCTGGATATGTCGACAGCGGATTATCCGCACCGATGGTCAAACCGAAAGGGTGAAACGCTTCATCGAAGACGTTATTCCCAGCGTCTGCCGAGGCGCTGGAGCCCCATGTTGCCAATCGTAGAGTTAGCGCTGAACGATACAGTGCATTCGTCTACTGGTTTCACGTCTTTCTACATAAATGGGCTGAGTAACCCTCGCGTCCCGCTGAAGCCGCCATCCCATAACTCAGGCCTTGGTGGGGGAGGAATAGCCGAACGGCTAGCTGATGTCAGCCCCCTCACCATCCGTAAAGAAATCGATGACTTCTTGTCTACCAGACTGAGTGTCCTACGACACGTTCGCGATGCGAT